CGATTGTTTGTTTCAGCGAATTCATTATTTTTCTTTTTTTCTGTGGTGTGTGATCATGTTTATTTGGTGTTGTTTTTTACCGGTTTATAAGGTCAGCACCTCGTAAACTTCCAATTTTTCTTATTCATTATTTTTGGGATACATTTGTGAGTGTGTGTGTGTGTGTGTGTTTGTGTGTGGGTACAATTGATTCACTTCCATGTCACCGCATTAAGAGTCGCTTGAAAGCAGTGTACACAGTATAAGTGTACTATACAATCTTATGTATGAGCCTGACCTGCTACCGTTGTTCCTGAAAGACAATTTGAATTATTTCCCCTGCCGCACGAGACTGCTGAGGATTATGTTTGTCGGGAGTGAGTGAGAGATATTTAATACCCTATCTTTCACTATATCCTTAGACAGTGTTCCCTCGATCTTTTGTCGAGTTTGTACCTGTCTGTCTGTCTGTCTGTCTCTCTGTCTAAGTAGCAGAGATAACCAAAAGTGTCGTCTGCTTAGGAACTTTGGATACGAGTCTTCAGCAACATACACACCGGATTATTATGTCTCAAAATTCATCATCGTCAGTTTTTCTCACTTCCAAGCAAGAGAATATACTTTAACCCATCGATGACTTTGGATAAAAAAAAACACAATAATGTTGCAGTCTCCTATAAGAAAAAACACACACTAGAATGAGGAAATAAAACGAAAAAAAAAACAACAGCACAGGGAGAATTTAGTTACCACGGCGGGTCTGTTGTTCAAAGAGACTTGTAGAAAAATAAATGCAAGGAGAAGACATGATCGATCCTTTCTCTCCGTACCAAAACACAAACCAGTTATCATATTTTTGGTAAGTTATTATATTACCATGGCTAATTTGTCCCCCAAGACCTGGGAATAACTGGCCCAACATTAAATTAACACCGAGAAGCTTTGTTAGTATAAGAACTATTAAACGATGTCTTTTTGGCTATAAGAATGACCTCTCAACCCGAAATATTGAATGCATTTAATCTTGCTTACCCGGTGAATAAAATATTATACTGACCGTCAGCAAACACACAGCAGTCGATGGTCATCTGACTCGGTTCATTTGGGTGTTTATTTTGTATTTGTTGTTGACATATTAGAACAGCGTTTCTTAACCTGGGGTGTAAGGATCCCCAGGGGGTGCTGAAATCGATTTTAGGGGGTTCTGGAAAGGCTCTGTCAAGTCCAGAACGATACGTTAGGGCAGTTAGAGTACACACTTACTTCTTGTTTTTGTTTTTACGTGGATTAGCCCACCCGGGCACAGGTCACTGACCCACATTGGGGCCTGGGGGGTAATAATAATAATAATAATAATTAGGGCTGGATAGTTATGCATTTGCATATTTCATATGCAAATGCATATTTTGCGTGATTTCTATGATAAGTGCATATTACCTAGATAACTGCATATAAATGCATATTTTGGTAAAATATTCATCTGGCAGTATCTCTTTGTTGCCACTGAATGAGCACACGTGGTACTGGGAGGTGAGGTGAGGTGTGGTTAGGTGAAGTGAGGTGAGGTCACGTCGCTTTAATCTGTCGTTTCCACACCTGGTCATGACTCATTGACTAGTGAGTTAGTGGTCAGAGCAGTGCTGCTGTGTGAGCTACTCTTTCTGCTGTTTGCCGAAAGTACAAAGAAACCAAAATGAAGTGCTGAGATCATATGTAAAGGAATTTGATGCATTTACTACTGATGGAAGTGTTACTGTTTTGTAAATATTGTGAGCACCAGTGACAGGAGCAAGAATTTCAAGTCCAACACACTTAAAACAAGCAAGCACATCCGACTCGAAGTTGTTAAGTCCAATAGTGCACAAAAGGAGCAACAACTACTTTTGCATGTTCCAGTAAGTCAGGGTCTGATCGTTCCCAGTTCAACGCAGATTTGTGCAGGCATTTGTTTCAGGATATTCCATTGCATAAACTGAATAACAGTGCCTAAAGTCGTTCCTGAACATATACTGGAAAAAGGTGCCTGACGAATCAACGTTACGTAAGAATGCAACCACAATCTGTAATGTCTGAAAATATGTCAGTCTATATTGTAAATACATGTTCATATATATTTTAGCAATTTTCACATATATATGTTAAATACATTACGTATAATAAACATTAACATTAGTTTATATTAACTATTTGTTTCCGTATAACCCGATTCTTGGCTTTATAAGTGGCATTTTTAAGTGTATATAAATGCATATTTCTGTTTTAGTGCATATTTGAAAAAGATCAAAAAGTGAGAAACAATATATGTTTGTTGTGTTGTCAATATTGTAAGAGAAACAATTGAGACCCTGCAATTGTGTGTAAATGAGGTAGAAAGTCAGATCAGCAACCTGGGACTTGGTAACAATTTTCGTGATGCCATATGGCAGCAGGGTCTACCATTAGACAACACATTATGCTTCCAACATCTTCCCAAGCGGTAGTACCTCCCTGTTTGGTGTGTGCCTATTACCTTCTACCTACACTGGACCTTCCCTTGTTTGTCTGTGTACTCTATATCAGAGTTTGTTAAGGACTGATCTTTTCCGTGTGATGGCCTTGATACCACCAAAAGAGAGAAAGAGCACCACACTACTAATAACAATAGGATCCGGATGCATACACCGATTTTAATTGTGAACGAGAGAAAGAAAGAGAATAGTCAACACGTACAAGTATAAATAATTCATACCCCATATCCTGTTTTAGCTGTGACTGCATTGCTAAAATTATGCTCGATTGTTTTCCGTATGGATACAACTTCATCAAGGTGACTGTCCATAACAATGACGATGACGATGATAATGTTGATAGTAATAACATGGATGATGCTGATGATAATAATAATAATGACATTGATTATAATGATATTGATGCTGATAATGGTCATAATAATGAGAATCAATAATAATAATAATAATAGCTTATAAAAGTAGAATTACTTATAATATTAAGAAAAATAGCAGTAATACTGCATTTACAGTAACTAAAATAATATTAGGAAAACTAATAATATTGCTACTACTGACAACCACAAGGTAAACTACTGTCACAAACTGTCATACAGTAGTTAATAGTTTGGTTAAATACATAGGTAAACTAAGTAAGGCCTAACAGCTTGTCTTTGAACACCTTTCATGAATTAAGTTTAATGTGATTGAGTTTCTATGGTTTGTCAGTAGTCTGTCTAAGATATTAAACCACACAAGATACCAGATGGATATATGGAGATTGTTGATAGCTTTGGTTTAGGCGTGGCCTGTTTGTTTGTTTGTTTGTTTTTTTAAGTGAGGCTAGGAGGGTAAAGGACACGTAAGGTCGGTCAGCGTCTTGGTGGGCGTGGAGATTGTGACACCTGGTCAGCTGGTCGTAGGTACTGTTTGCTCCTCTCATGCTGGTCTCCGTCTGCAATCGTCTCCACAGGTCAGTTAAAGTTCATCCCGCTACCACCGACACTTGTGAACCCGAGTTATCAATCAACACCGTTCCGCTTCACTGAGAAATAATCATACATTGTCAACTTCATAACCTTGATAGTATGTGTGTCTAGTGTTGTGTCTGTGCGTGTTGTTGTTGCTGTTATTTTTGTTGTCGTTGTTGTTTTCGTTTGAATTTAATTTGGCCGCTTACAGCTGCTAGTTTATTGTGCACCCCATACTCATCCTGTGAGCGGTAGCGCAAATAGATTACAGAGTTGAATTCACTAAGGGTCTGTGTAACTAACCCAGTGGTCAGATATGGCATTGAATTTTCGAATATTTAAAATAAATTCTTTGTTTGAATAGAGGAGTGTGAGGCAGTATGTCTGGCCGCACACTTTGTTATTCACATTTTCGTGAAAGGTATTCAAGCAATATTGCGTGTTTGGTTCTATACGTGGGAACTGATATAGCTACTGAGTGCAAAAAAGTGGATACCATCTTAATATGTCGGCTATCTTGGCATTAATAGATAAAGTACTGTGTCATTTCACACACCGTGCTTGGACCTGTCCCTAAAAGGTTCTATCTTCACACAGTCGAGGACATATGTTCGAGTGTGTGGCCATATGTTTGGCCACACACTTAACATTTAGTTTTGTTCACATCTGTTTGAGGGCAATACTGCCAGAGGTACTTATATCCTAACCTAAGTCTAGCGGTTACAACATCTTGTAATCTAATGATCTTGTTACTTGCCCCATATACACGTTTCGCTTGATACATCTCATGTTTGGTGTGCGGGGGGGGTGAAGAATTACCACGGTGGGGAGGAAATGTACAGTCTCGGTCAGTAGTAGTATCCTTCCACCACCTAACGCCTGCGCCTGACCGGGTCCTTTCTGTACAGTAAGTCACGTAGGGTGGAGAGGGAGAATGTTCGTCTTGGGGGAGGAGCTAATAGAACAGGTGTCTTTTAAGAATGGGACCTAGTAGAACAGGGCCTTTAGGCTAGGGCCTAGGAGAACAGGGGCCTAATTGGAACAAAGGACTCTTAGGAATGGGGTCTAGTAGAACAGGAGCCTTTTATAACTAGGACCTAGCAAAACAGAGACCTTTTAGGACTGGTGCCTATTCGTTCAGGGGTCGACGAATTTTCTGAATCCCTGATGACTTATCACACAACTACATAACCAATCACATTACCGTACTTCACTTTTATAAGATGAGCAATGACGTGTGTGTGTGTGTGTGTGTGTGTGTGTGTGTGTGTGTGTGTGTGTGTGAAATACGCTCCAAATTTCATACAGTGACGTGTTCTTAGAATGAAGCGGATGCAATATTGCGAGTGTTTTGGCAGAGGTCAAATGATATTTTCTTTACTCCTGATGCACACATACTGTACCTTACGTTACGTAGACCTTCCCTTACTTATTACTTAGATGACATAAAGACCATGCCACCTGATCATTAAAAATAAATAAATTCAGGAAAATGTGAAAATATTAGTTTGATGACATCTGACAACTCAGCAGCTGGTTCTCTGTATAAATACGGCTGGTCCGCCTGAGCCGCACAGTTACACGTTCTCCACCACGAAACTAAGGTTAGACCGTGTTACCATTTATTACTTTATCATTTGTCGCCTTTGTTATTACGTGTTATTACCTCCTATCTATGATTTTCCATTACTACATCTCTTGATTGGAGAGTGTTGGGCTTAGGATGGAGGATTTTTCAACCGTGCATATCCTTGGGGTCCGGACTGTCAAAGCCAGCCATCCTGCCAAGCTTGTATTGATCGGGCAGTGATGTGCAGAGGAATGCGATTTTGCAAGTCTATTCATCTCATTATTACTTCAAATAAAACCACACACCACAGTGTGTCGACAGCGTGTGATTTATGTGGGGTTAGGAAGAGTTTTGTCAACCCCGTGAGTCACGCCCTTCCTTCCTCCCAGTCATGACATCCTGACCTGACAGATGGATGACCTTCACTCACGAGGATTATTTTTTTCTTCAGATATCCCAAATTTCTGTAACCTCCCTCCTCCCGGCATTTCACCATAAGAGTAACCACCTTCACGATTACACTTCACACACACACACCCCTAGGTAGCATTACAGTAGGTTGGTTAAAATTAATGTGAGATACGTTTTTGGCGACGAACTCTTAGGTGATTATTTTTTCTCCCGAATCTTTCACTCAGAAAATTATTAACATTATTTATCCTCGTGTTCCCCTGAGTCTTGTACGACGGGAGGTTAAGCGTGTAACAGGTGTGATTTTGTTACTTCACCTGTCGAATCTTGGTGACCCTACACAGGGAAGAGACATGCGGGTGGTTCTGACAGTGTAGACGGGATATTTGATTACCTGTCTTAAGTTAGTCATGTACAGTACTTACCAAATGTACTAATGCACAGATTATTTAGGTTACAGGAGTGTACAATATTTAAAGTAATATAATAAGCCCCTTTATCAGTGTTGTCATTAGTACACAGGATAATAACGTTCTGTAATTTTTGTAATAATTTCTGTGACTGAGTAAGTGTATGTTATTTTTACATCACCTAGTGGGCATGTCCATTGTCCATTCTATCTGTATTTCCGCATGACCAGGTAAGATGGCGACGATGCAACTCGACCGTCTGGTGAAAGTAAAACACACACACACATACACACACATACACACACACATGCACACATACATACACACACATACATACACACACATACACACATACACACTCCGAGCATTACAATTATGTATGAGAATGAGAGAAAACAAGAACAATGGAACTTCACTATGAATGGCACTCGGCGAAATTTCAATGTGGGCGATCAACATCCCTCACCCCATCTCCCTCACCTCGCCCTCACCTCGCCTCACCCTGCCCCCACTCTCGCCTCCTACCTCGCCTCCCTCACCTCAAGTTTTTCTTCCTTTATGGCGTTTTACCAGACCTTCATGGATGACCTGTGACCATGACCTTTAGCCCATTGTTGACCTAAAGTTGTTGTGCCTTGAGCTGTTGCAAGGCCGACCAGCGCGCGGTGAAATTATTGTAAAGATCAGGTTAGGCTAGACGGGTGAACTGGGAGATGGATGAGGTGACGCTCATCACAGTTGGATGACAACAGGCGTGTGTGTGTGTGTATGTAAAAGGAAAAAACATATGTACTGTATGTGTTTGTGAAAGTCATGACGTGGGTTGTGTGTGTAAGTGAGAGGCGCCCCTGTGCATGGCTTGCTTTGATGATTGGCTGTCAAGACTCCACCCTCCTCGCCCCTCTCTAGTTCTTTCTCTTCCCATCCTGCCTCTCACACTCCCTCCCTCATTCATCAGCACGTGGAAAGAGGGAGGAGGGGGTGGTAGAGACATACAACGCTTGTGTCTTAAGATCCTCATAGATTCGTAGGATAAAATATTTCTGGGAGCAATTTTGACGCTATGTTGAGCCCCGAGTTTATGTCATTACGCTGATATCCAGTAAAAGGGAAAAATAATTTACGAATCTATGAGAATCCTCCATTACGTTACAAACTTGTGTGATCCACAGTTAGACATGTTCTTACATCTCAGGTTACGAGGAAATATGTGGACGTGCAAACCGGTAATGCTTCGAGCTCCGTCCTCCTTCCCTCCTTTCTCCTTCCCGCCCTCCTTCCCTCCCTCCTCGCTCCCTCCCTCCCTTCCGCTATACAGAAAGTGAAAGCGACTCTACCGTGTTGTGGGAGGGTATTGTTTGGATGTTCTAGATGACCAGCGACGTCCTTTGAGATCTATTATCTTGGCATTAACTCTCGATCCAGGGTCTCCCCACATGACCTTAACCCTCATCCACCGCCCATTTTAGTGTGTAAGTTGCGACTACGTCATAGTGTTCAGTTCTGGTCAAACTATTTCGCCACGCTTAGATGAGACAAATAGGGCAGTTAAGCGTTGGTTCGTCAGGCGCAACTTTTCAGATAAGAGACAATATAACTCTAACCTAACCTAACCTAAGCAGATCAACACTTAAGGCACCTGCCGTCCGTCTCACCTCAACCTTCCTCCCCAACACCCCCATCCCACCGAGAATCGCACCTCCTGACCCCCACACCCTCCTCCTTCCCAACACGACTTTCTCCCATACTCTCTTCTTCCTTCTTCTCACCCCACACGCCTCTTTTTCCTTCCATCCACCCTTCAACATCCTTCCCAATATCCTCTGCACTCTACCCTCTCCTTATTCCCTCCTTTCCTCCCTCCCCCCTTGCTACCAAGCACCCGTCCGCCCACTGCCTAGATTCAGGATTGACACACTTTCACTATTTCTTATAAATATCAGGATACCATTGATTGAGGCAAACCTGGGAGACCCCTTGTTGTCACGTGTGTGGGATGGTCTCATTTCAGGCTGATTTTGTATATTGAAAACGAAAAAAAAAGACTATTATTATTATTATTATTATTATTGATTTTTATTATTATTGTTATTACTGTATTGTTGTTATTGGTAATGGTATTACTACACTTATAAACCTTTTTAATTTTACTCAGTGAAATTGATCGTAAGAATTATATAAAGTGTTTAAATATTAACTTAAATTTGATAATGAACAGATGGATAAAACACGAGTAATGTGACCTTAATATTTCCTTCATCAGCTTATGAATGAACTCGTTAAGCTGTAGTTAAGTTTCCTGTATAGTAATTTAATTTCAGTTTAGTGTTTTTTTCTTATGACTTCACAGTGATTTATTTATTTTTTCGTTCTCATATTAATTATTTACAGAGATGTATTTTTTTCCATTAAATATCTACTTTATTATTAAAAAATATCTACACTTTTATGTAGTTTATTGTGTTTGTGCGTAGTTGTGTGTGTTAGAGAGACTTTCCCCCTTGGTGTGACTGACCGATACAAGAGAACAAACTGATGGCGGGGGGAGGAAGAGATGATGAAAGTATATCACAGAGAAAGTGACACAAACACAACTCTTATTTATAGGTGAAAATATATTAAGAATTGCTTCTTGTGTTGTCGCATATCAGAGTGAGTCATTTAGATACGTTATCACATCATCAATTAGGTTAAAAAAAATCACAGGAAACTTTTATAATCCATCTTTGTATTTACATCCGCTCCCAAATCGCGAATTAGGATGAAGAAAAAATACTCAGGAATTTTCGGGAGCCCGTGTGTGTGTGTGTGTGTGTGTGTGTGTGTGTGTGTGTGTGTGTGTGTGTGTGTAATAGGGATCATCGTGTTTCTTGAGGTAATACGTAGGTAGAGGAGAAGGGACGTTGTTATTGTCACTCATGTGTTAAATGGTACAAGGTAAGGCAGAGTTTCACGTTTTCTGCTTGGAATGTGTGATTAGCTGTGTGTGTTGTGAGGTGTGGGTGTGTTGTGAGGGTGTAGAGGGTGTGTTGTGGTGTGGGGGTGTGTTGTGAGGTGTAGGGGTGTGTTGTTGTGAGGTGTAGAGGGTGTGTTGTGAGGTGTAGAGGGTGTGTCTGTCTGTCTAGAGGGTGTGTTGTGAGGTGTAGAGGGTGTGTTGTGAGGGTGTGAGGGGTGTGTTGTGGTGTGGTGTGTCTGTCTGTCTAGAGGGTGTGTTGTGAGGTGGAGAGTGTGTTTGTGAGGTGTAGAGGGGTGTGTTGTGAGGTGTAGGGGTGTGTTGTGGGGTGTGGTGTGTCTGTCTGTCTGTCTAGAGGTGTGTTGTGAGGTGTGGGGGTGTGTGGTGTGGTGTGTCTGTCTGTCTGTCTAGAGGGTGTGTTGTGAGGGTGTAGAGGGTGTGTTGTGAGGTGTGGTGTGTCTGTCTGTCTAGAGGGTGTGTTGTGAGGTGTGGGGTGTGTTGTGGTGTGGGGGTGTGTGTTGTGAGGTGTGGGGTGTGTCTGTCTGTCTAGAGGGTGTGTTGTGAGGTGTGAAGGTGTGTTGTGAGGTGTGTGGTGTGTCTGTCTGTGTGGGGTGTGTTGTGAGGTGTGGGGTGTGCTGTGAGGTGTAGAGGGTGTGTTGTAGGTGTGGGGGTGTGTTGTGAGGTGTGGGGTGTGCTGTGAGGGTGTAGGGGGGTGTGTTGTGAGTGTGGGGTGTGTTGTGAGGTGTAGAGGGTGTGTTGTGAGGTGTAGAGGGTGTGTTGTGGTGTGAGGGTGTGTTGTGGGGTGTAGAGGGTGTGTTGTGAGGGTGTGGGGTGTGTGTTTGGAGGTGTGAGGGTGTGTTGTGAGGTTGTGAGGGGTGTGTTGTGAGGTGTGGGGTGTGTGAGGTGTAGAGGGTGTGTGTGAGGTGTGAGGTGTGTTGTGAGGGGTGTGGGGTGTGTGGGGTGTGGGGTGTGTGGGGGTGTGAGGTGTGTTGTGAGGTGTAGAGGGTGTGTTGTGAGGTGTAGGGGTGTGTTGGAGGTGTAGAGGTGTGTTGGGAGGTGTAGAGGGTGTGTGAGGTGATAGGGTGTGTTGTGAGGTGTAGAAGGTGTGTTGTGAGGTGTAAGGTGTGTTGTGAGGTGTAGAGGGTGTGTTGTGAGGTGTGGGGTGTGTTGTGAGGTGTGAGGTGTGTTGTGAGTGTAGGGTGTGTTGTGAGGTGTAGGGTGTGTTGGAGTGTAGAGGTGTGTTGTGAGGTGTAGAGGCTGTGTTGGGAGGTGTGAAAGGTGTGTTGGGAGGTGTGGGGGTGTGTTGTTGTGAGGTGGGAAGATCACGTTTTGTGGTCAATTATATAAAATACCAGTAATTGTCTCGAGTGCTGTTGTGTGACAGTAGTGTGTTTGGAGTGTTTGTGTGTGTGACAGTAGTAATGATTAGTGTTGTGTGTGTGTGACAGTAGTAATGTTTGAGTGTTTTGTGTGTGACAGTAATGTTTTGAGTGTTGTGTGTGTGTGACAGTAGTAATGTTTGGAGTGTTTTGTGTGTGTGACAGTAGTAATGTTTGAGTGTTTTGTGTGTGTGACAGTAGTAATGTTTAGTGTTGTGTGTGTGTGACAGTAGTAATGTTTGAGTGTTGTGTGTGTGACAGTAGTAATGTTTGAGTGTTGTGTGTGACAGTAGTAATGTTTGAGTGTTGTTGTGTGTGTGACAGTAGTAATGTTTGAGTGTTGTGTGTGTGTGACAGTAGTAATGTAGTGTTGTGTGTGACAGTAGTAATGTTTGAGTGTTTGTGTGTGTGACAGTAGTAATGTTTGAGTGTTGTGTGTGTGTGTGACAGTGTGTGTTTGAGTGTTGTGTGTGTGACAGTAGTAATGTTTGAGTGTTGTGTGTGTGTGTGTGTGTTGAGTGTTTTGTGTGTGTGACAGTGTAATGTTTGAGTGTTGTGTGTGTGTGTGACAGTAGTAATGTTTGAGTGTTGTGTGTGTGACAGTAGTAATGTTTGAGTGTTGTGTTGAGTGTGCTGTTTGGAGTGTTATTGTGTGTGTGACAGTAGTAATGTTTGAGTGTTTGTGTGTGTGTGACAGTAGTAATGTTTGAGTGTTGTGTGTTGTGACAGTAGTAATGTTTAGTGTTTTGTGTGTGTGACAGTAGTAATGTTTAGTGTTTTTTGTGTGTTGATAGTAATGTTTGAGTGTTGTTGTGTGTAGTAGTAATGTTTGAGTGTTGTGTGTGTGACAGTAGTAATGTTTGAGTGTTGTGTGGGACAGTAGTAATGTTTGAGTGTTGTGTGTGTGACAGTAGTAATTTTGAGTGTTGTGTGTGTGTGTGACAGTAGTAATGTGAGTGTTGTGTGTGTGACAGTAGTAATGTTTGAGTGTTGTGTGTGTGACAGTAGTAATGTTTGAGTGTTGTGTGTGTGTGTGTGTGTTGTTTGAGTGTTGTTGTGTGTGACAGTAGTAATGTGAGTGTTGTGTGTGTGTGACAGTAGTAATGTTTGGTGTTGTGTGTGTGTGACAGTAGTAATGTTTAGTGTTTGTGTGTGACAGTAGTAATGTGAGTGTTGTGTGTGTGTGAGTAGTAATGTTTGAGTGTTGTGTGTGTGTGACAGTAGTAATTTTGAGTGTTGTGTGTGTGTGACAGTAGTAATGTTTAGTGTTGTGTGTGTGTGTGACAGTAGTAATGTGAGTGTTTGTGTGTGTGTGACAGTAGTAATGTTTGAGTGTTGTGTGTGTGTGACAGTAGTAATGTTTAGTGTTGTGTGTGTGACAGTAGTAATGTTGGTGTTGTGTGTGTGTGAGAGTAGTAATGTTTGAGTGTTGTGTGTGTGACAGTAGTAATGTTTGAGTGTTGTGTGTGTGTGACAGTAGTAATGAGTGTTGTGTGTGTGTGACAGTAGTAATGTTTAGAGTTGTGTGTGTGTTGACAGTAGTAATGTTTGAGTGTTGTGTGTGTGTGACAGTAGTAATGTTTGAGTGTTGTGTGTGTGTGACAGTAGTAATGTTTGAGTGTTGTGTGTGTGTGTGACAGTAATAATGTAGAGTGTTGTGTGTGTGTGACAGTAGTAATGTTTGGAGTGTTGTGTGTGTGTGTGACAGTAGTAATGTTTGAGTGTTGTGTGTGTGTGACAGTAGTAATGTTTGATGTTGTGTGTGTGTATTAGTAATGTGTGAGTGTTGTGTGTGTGACAGTAGTAATGTGAGTGTTGTGTGTGTGTGACAGTAGTAATGTTTGAGTGTTGTGTGTGTGACAGTAGCAATGTGTGAGTGTTGTGTGTGTGACAGTAGTAATGTAAGTGTTGTGTGTGACAGTAGTAATATGAGTGTTGCGTGTGACAGTAGTCATATGAGTGTTGCGTGTGACAGTAGTAATATGAGTGTTGCGTGTGACAGTACCAGTCAATGTTTAAGTTAAAAGCAGTAATGAATTTTTATGTTCGTTTTCGAGTCATCCGTTGTCCAAACATTACATAACCGGCCGCTGTGAGACAATAAGCTGATATTACGACTCGTCACTGCGTATATTAGCTGAGACAAGCTTAGTGCACATCGTTAGTTTCACAGCTTTTAGATGTTTAGCTGTAACGTAATAGTAATAATAGTAATTGAAATGCTATTAATAATAATTACACTGGGAACCACTGATCGGTGTGGCAGGTTGAGAGGAAAGATTCGTTTGCACCACGAGGGGGCTAGTTTATTGAGCACCCCCTTGCATCCCGTGGAAGGTGAAGTGCAAAAGCGTTTATCGCGCGCAACAGGGAAGCTTGCGGAGTTAAAGGTAGTAAATGTCTGAAGGGCCATGGAATATGTCGGCAAGTTACACAGTGACAGAAGTGTGGGGAGGGGGGCGCAGGAGAGATTCTCGACACAATACATCTGTTTTGGTAAGGCGTGGCAGGTCCCTAATAAGTCAAGTGCTAGACCTGGCTCTAGGAGGAGGGGTATTTAGTCAGGAGGAAAAGGTGTTGGTGACTGAAAGAGTGGACATGTGAAACCAATCGAGTTGGGTCACCTTCAGCAAGTTCCACCCCACTCCTCATCCTTCCCCTCCTCAACACTCCTTCCCTTCTCTCACCCTCCTCACTACTTCATCCCTCCTCCACCCTCCTCTCTTCCTTCTCAACACGCCTCATCTCCTCGTTACACCACTTAGTGAAAGTCTTTCGTGTGTCGATGCGCACTAACATAACAGGCGTTAAGAACACCGAATTCGGTGTTCTTAACGCCTGTTATCGTCCTGACCTTGGTGTGTGTTTTTTTTTTTTTCTGGTTAAGGTGGGGAAAGGATGGAAGGCATGCTGGGGCTCAAGGCACAGCCAGACATGAGGGATGGAGAAGTCACAACATAACTAAGCTAACCTAGGATTTAGTATGAGGTTGCACAATGGTTATTTTAGTAGACAATGACTAGATTGATTTTACAATTACAAGTTTATTAACATCTTATACTGTATTACGTTATGGACTCACTTGATTGTGACTTGTTAAATGTGAATTTATATCATCTAAATTTTAATCTAAGGTGGATCACTCTGGCGGACATAGATGGTCGCGGGTTGGGTTGTTGTAGTGCCACCTTGGTGTATTAAGAGTTGTTATCCCAGACCGTCAGTGCATGGCGAAGGCTCCTGTTTAACGTAACGCATTGTGTGACCGTAATAACGCATCCCTGGATTACAAAGTGACAGAATCTCTCTCGTGCACACGCGCACACGCACACACACACACACACACACACGTGTGTGTGTGTCTGTGTGTGTACACACTTGGCAAAGAGATGCATATAAAACTCAAGCCTCTGTGTCAAATATCAAGGTCACTGCTGAAGGCCAAGGTCAAATGGGGGTCATTGGTGTTTTATGTGCCCTGCTATTGTGTCTGTCTCTCTGTTTATCTGTTTTGTCATCGTTTATCCAAAATCAACCCATTTCCTCCTCCTCTTACTCCCACAACACTTCCAGAAATCCTTGCTTACAGTGTATTGGTGAGTATACGTTATTGAGTCTTGTGATTCATTATGGTTTACTTCTTTCTTTTTCCTTTTATCTTTTTGCTTCCTTTTGTTGCTGTAGTTCTTTCCGTATTCTTTCTTCTTCCTCTTTATTCTTTCTACGCGACTGATCTATCCATCCATCCCCAGATAGACGATCATGGCAGGAAAACGCACAGCGACGATGGCAGTACTGTTGGTGTTGGGTCTCCACTTGTCAGGAGCCCAGGGGAGGAATCACGTCGTGGCAGGGGTGCAGGGTCAAGCTGTGGCACAGAGTCAGAGCACAGACGAGAACGGCGTCACCACAGGGGAGTGTGCCTTCACTGATAAGCAGGGCCAGCCCATTAGGGTAAGTTAAGTTGCCTGTGTGTGTGTGTGTGTGTGTGTGTGTGTGTGTGTGTGTGTGTAAAGTTGAATAGGAATGGCCATCAGCTTAAACCCTGAAAATGTGTTGGTGTTGTTTTCTTGCCTCAACTATTTGCTATAACCTACAGTAAGGTGTTGTTTGTTTACAGATCAGGTACCAACAAACTCCTGATGGCCAGATACAGGCTAACGTGATCGAAGGGAACGTTCCTGATCCCGTGGCAGCTCTCCGTGTGTGCAGGCAGTCCCAGTCGCATCTCCAGGATCAGGTGAGGTACTGACAGGTGAGGCACTTTAACAGGACAGACACACTTGAACAGGGTAGTAGCATTTGAATAGGACAGCGACACTTGAACAGGACAGTAACACTTGAACAGGACAGTGACACTTGAACAGGACAGTGACACTTGAACAGGACACTAACACTTGGACAGGACACTAACACTTGGACAGGTGTTATAGAGTATTTTGGTGTTAATCTTGACAACGTCGAAGCTATAAATCTAATCACTTGCATAACCCTTATGGGGAAGCTAGATATTGCCAGAGGTGTCGAGGAAATCTTGATAGTGACTGTACCTCATTAGGTTGTCATCTTGCACTGTAGCTAAAACAACTAAACAACTATCTGTGCATACTTTGTGGGAAACAATAGGAGACCATGGATGGTAAATTGTGGTATATGAGGGCTGTCACTAGTCACACGCAAAATTTCGGAGAATATCGACCCCCCACCTGCACAGATAGGTGTTTCAGTTACTGTACACTCGCAACAAAAAGTATCGGTTCATACTGTAGTGTGAACAATTTGAGACCAGTGACGATAGGTATTGGGAAAGGCGAGTTGTTCCAGCCGTATGTTGGCAGCCCTGATTGTCAGCCATAAGGCAACACCTAGTGGAGGGCGGGGGGGTTTGAGGATACACTTACCAACCTTCCCGACATATCACAGTGTATACGTATCGTTTCGGAACTCGTCGATCTCACCCTGCACCGATACTTTTTGGTGCGAGTGTACATATAGATGGTAAACACACACAGTAGTATGGCGTATATCGCTTGGATTTTTCTAAGATTCATGTCTCAAATTTAAATCTCTCTCATGTTCATCACATCTACAACGGTTAACAGAATTCTAGATAGCTGTAGTTTTCCTTGGGCGTTTGTTTCATGGGACAGTGCTCTTATCTTTTGTCTTTGTCTCCACCTCACAGCTGCAGGCACAGCAGCAACATCTGCAGAGACAACAGGAGAACCTTTTCTATCAACTCCGACAGCAGCAGCAAGCCATCTTCAACCATCAACCAGCCTTCCCAGACTTCTTCAACTAAATGGGTGGAACTGTCTACCTGACCCTCTCCCTCATCCACCCGAATTTTACCTGCTGTCTTCTTCATCAGTCCTTAACCTGATTTATCGTTTCGTTTTTAGTGATTATTTTATTTTGTTTTGAAATTTGTATTTTTGTTGTTGTTGATGTTGAGCCAACTTGACGTTCCTGTAAGAAGTGCCGATTTTTTCATTAGTGGTTCTTAAAATCTTCAGCATTCTGTCAGTATTTTTTTGCCTTCACATAAATATATCTAAATGTTTTCAGATATATATTTTTAATGTGTGTATGCAGAGTAGGTTGAAGGTAGCATCATTCATCACTATTAAATGACAAACAATGGTAGAATATTGTGACATTCACTGGACCAAGCAAAGTGAAACCTATTTATGCCTACGAAGGAAAATAATGCTTCCAAATAACTTGTCTTCCGTCATCATTCACTTGATTTTTTGGCTATGATGTATTTCGCTTCTCTCACCGCTTGTAAACTTCCATCACCAAGACTTCCAAGATTGTAAGATACTTCACTTTTGGTTCGTCTATATTAAAGATATGCAGGCGTCCTTTAGTAGCGATGAGATTGTCCAGGAATGCAAAATATTAGATTGAAGTCTGTCTGGAATGGGTGTGTGGGTGAAGAGGAGGAAACAATATCCCTTCTCCATCCCACAAAAAAAAAGAATTTGTGTCATAAATGGTTGGCTGTGTTGAGGTAGTGCCACTTGAATTACCCTTTCCCACGTATAATGATACCCGGGTGTATTCTCTCCGAAGGTCACCCTGGGAGGAGGAGGAGGACATAGTTTAAACACAACGAAACAGGAACAAACAGGTCCTTGCAAACAGGTCTAATATTGATTACGGACCCCCTTAGATAACTCGTTGAAGCATGGGGGAAAAAATCTACGTATAGGGTCTTAGATTATATTTGATGTCCTTAGTCATTTAGCAGCAGGTACAGACCCTAGAGTAGTGTATCTCCTTAAGTATCCGCAACAGTGAGTAGGGACATATATACAGGTATTGTACTAACCGTAGTGTTCCTGAAATCTATATACGCAGCTGCCGGTTACAGGAACCTATTTCAAGACTCAAGACTATTTATTACCCTATGTAATTTATAGAACCAAAAAAAATCGAACCGGATGTACAACTCTTAGTTTTATCTTGTCTTCCCAATACAACATTCAGAACGAAAATTGGGTCAATCATGAAAAAAAAGAAAGACTATGTTAAAGTAAACTTCCTACCAGAAATAGGACCCTAATAGGCACTACACAACATAAAATAAGAAGAGGGGACATAAATGTTCATGATTTATCTACCTGAAGAACGTAAGTTTTTTTAGACTGAAATTAAAGAATTTATATACTGTATTGTCCTTGAAGATCTGGTGTTTACGTAGATTGAACTTAAGTCTTAGTTTATGTACGTGAAGATACTTAATTTACATAAACTAAACTGAAATAATTTATATATCTGAAGACTGACAAGCCATTCATCCTACACTGAAATTTTATTGTGAATTTAGTTTGTGTTGAATATGTGGTTTGACCTGGAGAGTGGAGGTTGTGTATTCGCACTGTCATTGGGGTCATCCAGCCTCACAAGCGATTGGTCTTGTGTGTGTGTGTGTGTGTGTGTGTGTGTGTGTGTGTGCACCCTATCCTCTAAGTGCAAAGTGTCAGTATGTATGTTTGTATTTTTTCTCAGTGTATCTATGCATCATGACCTTTAACCAGAAAATATCTTGAGAATGGCCTGTAGAGGAGTGAGAGAGAGAGAGAGAGCACTTGCTGTTTTCTGTGGAGCTGGTCACCCATGCTCCTGTTGGCTGTGTTATATAAGAAAAAATATATTTTTTCCTTTGACAAAAATATTAATAGAAAAAAAGCGTTATGTGTTTCTACGTTTAATTTGCGAATATCTTATGTGTTCATCGCTTTTTAAGACTGTTTATCGTGCTAACAAGGAAATTATTTTATAATCTGGGCTATTTAACAAGTAAATTATGTTCATGGCTTAAGTACAATGATTAGTATATTGTTTAATTTATCAAATATATCTGGTACTTCACAAATTTACAACTGCCTTTTCTTTCCCATTCTATTCGACGTCCGTCACCTCATGAAAGTGATAATAGAAAATGGAGAAGCTAGTTGGAGGAGGTTGGTGGCGAGTCCCAAGCAGCGTCACAACTAAAATTAGATCAAACCTGGCTACGTTGAGGGAGGTGGTGCCTTCTGACGCCCTCGCCGTCGAGCGAATAATACCTTTTAGAAGGGGGGACTAGGTGCCAGATCTAGGGTATAGACTTTAAAATGTCAAGTGAATGCTCGGGAATGGTGGCTGATAATTACCTGCAAATCCAGTAGAAATCGGACAGATTTTATGGGGGTAAAAAATGGGGGCAGCAAAAAAAAAAAAAAAAAATTAAGAGCCTTATCTCGAAAACTAAAAACTGTACCGTTTCTCGAGATAACTCCAAAACTACTAGCGCGATTTTAATCAAATATATGTAATTTTAAAGATAAAAATAAATGCTATTTTTTCATTTAGTCGATTTTTTTTAAATATATTACAAACATATTCTAGACAAGGAGGAACATTTGAGAATCTTTCCTCTCTGAAATATAAGGAAAATAAAAATTCCACTTCAATGGATGTCTGAAGAATTGTGTCAGAGGTAATATGTTCAGCATAATCGGCCGAAGGATGTTGCTGTTATATCAATATATTTTTTCTTCCTAATTTCACCTTTTATTAAATAAAAAAAAAAACTCCTTCGAATGACATGAAACTTGGATATAATCATCTCGGTATACGGATACATAACATATATTAAAATAAAAAGATATATCAATAAATAAATACACAATGGGCGATAGCCCAACCGTGTGCTGATTTTTAATGTATTTGCTGAGAATCTATGGTGAAGATTCAGATTGGTAACAAACTATAGTGGTCAACAAACTGGTGTTTCAAGCGCTCTTTTATTTTTTAAACAGGTGATCAGGGTTCGATACCCATATAGACGTGGTAACGAGGAATTGTAAAGAGGTTTCGACTAATACCTGTAGTCTAGTCTCATTGTCTTTGATGAGACTGAACGAGAACACTAGAACAAAAGATACACACAGTGTTGCACTAAAGACCTGTATTATAACATAACATATACAGTCAGCCGAGTCAAACAATAAATTACTTTTACCCTTCGGTGTGATGGATTTCAAATGAACACTTTTTCTCCTGTTATCTCGGTAGGGTTGATAAGCGTGATTGCGACGTCATTTCCCTCATCCTTGTTTTTCGAAATATTCTAATTTATTTCAAAACATATAAACAGGGAAAATTTCCACAGGTAAAAGGTAGCAATTTTAATTTCTATTTTACTTCAAAAAGTCAGCGACGATAAGAATATGAGAACCAAGGTACCCTCTCTAACGTCATGGGAAGCACATTGCATTCAAGGGAACAATTTGTAGGCCCGACTGGACAGGACTTGACTGGAGACCTGGTGGCATCTATGACTCGTCGTTGTTGTTAATAATTTATTACTGTGCTTCAAAATATAAGGAGTTTAAGCACGTAACAAGGTTGGTAAATACCCTATGTCAACATGTAAAAAATTATGAGATTTATAAATCCCTCTAGAGAGCCTCGTAGGCCAAACAAAGTGATCTAGGCCGGAGAACGGAGATGCTTATACGAATATTAATTAATTATAATTGATATATAAATACGGTCTTCATATCCAAGAAATTATTGAAAATCAATCACAAATAAATATTAGTTATATTATATATAATATATATATATATATATATATATATATATATATATATATATATATATATATATATATATATATATATATATATATATATATATATATATATATGGATATATATATATATATATATATATATATATATATATATATATATATATATATATATATAATATATATATATATATATATATATATATATATTTTATATGGATCAACATTGTCTCGAAAAACTGCTCGTCATCTACGGATGCCCAATATTGTCGTCTACTTACTGACATGGAATTTCGAGTGCAGTAATTTCAGTTCGTGTTACTATAATCACACCTCTATTTAATGTTGTTTATTTAAACAACATTAAATAGCTGGTGGCCACAGAGCATTATAAAGATGTCACAGAACCAGAACCAATATATACACAATGAAAACTAAGCTACACACAAGTAGTATATGAAAATGCGTCAGACACAAGGACCTGCAGGGGCCACCAAAACAACACCACAGAACTACCTTAGTTTAGCTTAGCTTGCCTACCCACGCCAGAGTGGCCTGCGGGAGTGCTGTCATGGCAAACGGAACTCTGTCCCCGCAAGGTAGATAGCCCACCCGCTATCACATATCCCACTTTATTTCCCACTTGCTAACTTTACCTTCCTCCTACACCTTCTTGCATCTTCAGAGCCAACGGCTCTCTTCTCTACATCTCAACATAAACAACATTGTGTACCACAGACTGTGAACTGTATCCACGCTGTTCCTAACGGGCAGTCATGCCTACGGGACACACTTTCCCTTTCATTTCAATTTGACCGACTATCAGAATAAGAAAACATTTCCAATATAATAATAAACTTGCAGTGAAATACGAGTTCCTCAAAATAATAGTTTAACAAATCCACAATGTTCTTAGGATATGCAATTACTTATTTACATTCGAATTTTATTTTCGATTTATAATAAACTTAAAAATTGTAGGATTACACACAAGCGGAAAATGTATTATGGCAAGTGAAAAGTATAGTTTCACTAGTAGCTCCACGTAATCCCATATAAGGAAACCAAGGCTATCAATGTGAAGCCAGATATAATATCATTGCACGGAACTTTTCGCCAGTTTTTCATATTGTTCAACACCGAAGGGTTACAGCAATCACTGGTCAGACTGTACATGGTTGGATGAAGTCAGGAGTAAGATGACACCAGAATGGCAGCACTGTAGTTGTGGGATGTCGAAGAGGTAGCGGGGAACTGTGGAAGGTTGGTGAGGCAAAGTTGGAGTGCGGGACGTCGACGAAAGTGCTGAAGTTGTGGGTCGCTCAGTGAAGCAGTGCTGGAGTTTTTGGTGTGGTGAGAGGAGGACGAGGAAGTCATAAGTTTAGACGTTGGCAGGTCAGCGCTGGAGTCGTACGACGTCGAAGTTACAGTGATGAGGGCGTCGACGTCTCCTAGGCTGTAGTCGCAGGGGTAGTTACAGCAGCAGTAGGACACCAGAAGGGAATCACTGGAGTTTTGGAACGTCGGTATGGCAATGTGGGAGTGTGGGACGTCGACGGGGATGTTGGGGTTGTAGACTGAGAGAAGTTCTGAGAGGAGGACGAAGAAGTCGAAAGACGTGGGCTGTACATCGCCGGAGTCATGGCCATGGAGTCCTGGGAGGAGATGAGGTCTAGATGAGGAGACACTTGAAATCTAGCGAGAGTATAAGAGTGAGGGAATGTACAATGTACATTGTACATACCTTGGCATGGGCTGCCTTTATACAATGGCATCATAGACTTGTGGGAATTAAGTAGCCTTCCCATCAGTCAACTAGGACCTCTAGGGATTCCGCGATCATCCCATTGGTTCAGGCACTAGCTTCTGGCGAAATGTGTTAACAGCACCTAAAGTAATAATTACTACAGGTGATCGCTAGGAAGAGAGGGTTAATCCGATAATGGCGGGAAGAGGGTTGGCAATGTTTTCATGAATTTCACACTTGTTTCTAGGGCACAAGTTAACTCATAATGAATGAGTTGTATTTCCCTTATAGTCAACTTGCCTACGAAATTAATGTGAAATCCATTCAAAACACATTGAAATATACAGGATAAATATAATTTCGTCCAAAAAGTCGTGGGCAGTCCTAAAACGAATAGTGACCTAAAAGTTAAAAGTTCCACCACTATATTTCGACATTACAACAGTATCCTACTAATTTTATATGTTATATTGATCCCCTGATGTTAAATAGCAATTCTGAAGAATGGTTGTTATCGATACTATATACATTAAATAAAGAAAGAGATCATAAAAACAAATGAACAGTCAACGACTAACCTCTTCGGAAATCGGAAGAAAGACAAGTTTCTGTTCTTTTTAGTGTTGTTGGAGCAATTAAAGGATGCACAGTAATTGCGTCTCATTAAAGATAGTAAAATAAAGTGCGTCCCCCTCCTTTTAATCTCTGCCTGCCATTTATTTTGTATAATTACCCATTGGAGCGAGCCATCCTCCTACCAAGGGCGGATCCAGAGGGATCCTGGAGGTTAAGACCTCCCTTTTCACCAGAAAATTCCAGTACTTTTTCTTTAATGCATTATAGTTTATACTATGGTGTATTATTGTTAGCAAAGAGAAACAGACGCTTTCTTTGGTGGCTCCAACCTGAGACAGAAAACGGAAGTTCTCGTCAACTTCTTGCCACCAGGACTCACCTATTCTTACTATCATAATGGCACAGAGGTAACGTACGCAATTTGATTTATCTTCTTCGTTTCTGGTCAGCTTACTAGCCAGTGGGGCGTCATTGTTGCTGCCTTTATTACTTGATTAACTTTAATGTTTAATATTCGGTACACAGATAAAACATTTTTTTATATATAATGTAGTGGACTAAACCGGTTCTTAAAAAAATATATATTAATTTTCCTTGTTCCAGGTTCCCATATCTTCACCATTTGCCAAATGGTGAATTGGAGTAACACGAATAAGAATTATCGAAAGACATGCTAAATACCTCTCAGTTGATACCCGTAGGATCACTTGCTTGGCGTTTACACAATGTCACTTGAAATATTTATGGTCGTCTATGGTACTCTCCCCTAACACAGAAGTTAATATCCAAGCTTTTTAAAAATTGTTCCAAAAATAGTGGCGAGGTTCATTCTTGTCATGAAAACAAGAGATCACGTTGGTCACGATGTTCTTCAATCACGGAACACGTCAAGTGTGGTGGATAGAGTGAAGCAACTGGGGCTGAATCACGCTGACATGCCTAGAATATCCAACAACAGACTTATAAGGATTAGTAGG